AAAGGAATATTTGTGGTCACAGGCCAGGAAAGGAGTAAACACCTTGACCCTTATCATACCACCTTGGAAGAACTGAAAATTTACAGGTCCCTACTAGTATCTCTGAAAACAGCTGTACAAACCCCTGAAGCTTGGGACGGTACATTCTCCACATTGGAAGCAGACTCTTACCTTAACAAAGAGTTTAAAACTCAAGTAATTGGCTGGGATCATGAGCAAGCAGCGCAAAAAGAGTGAGACCATAGAATCTTAGTTTGGTGAAAAAGAAGATCAAAATATACAACCAGAAGAATGCAACAAAGTCAAAGCTCCTACATCCAAAGCCTCCAAGAAAAATATGAATCAGTCCCAGGCCTTGGAAGAGCTCAAAAGGGATCTTGAGAAGCAAGTAAGGGAAGTAGAGGAAAAACTGAGAGTGATGCAAGAAAATCACAAAAAACAAGTCAACAGCTTGCTAAAGGAGACCCAAAAAAATACTGAAGAAAATAACACCTTAAAAAATAGCCTAACCCAAATGGCAAAAGAGGTCCAAAAAGCCAATGAGGAGAAGAATGCCCTAAAAAAAAAATTGGCCAAATGGAAAAGGAAGTCCAAAAGATTACTGAAGAAAATACTTCCTTAAAAATTAGAATAGAGCAATTGGAAGATAGTGACTTTATGAGAAATCACGACACAGTAGAACAAATCCAAAAGAATGAAAAATTAGAAAACAATGTGAAATATCTCATTGGAAAAACAACTGACCTGGAAAATAGATCCAGGAGAGAGAATTTAAAAATTATTGGACTATCTGAAAGCCATGATAAAAAAAGAGCCTAGACATCATCTTTCAAGAAATTATCAAGGAAAACTGCCCTGATATATTAGAACCAGAGGGCAAAATAGAAATTGAAAGAATCCACAGATCTCCTCCTGAAAGAGATCCCCAAAGGAAAACTCCTAGGAATATTATAGCCAAATTCCAGAGTTCCCAGGTCAAGGAGAAAATATTACAAGCTGCCAGAAGGAAACAGTTCAAGTACTGTGGAAACACAATCAGGATAACACAAGATTTAGCAGCTTCTACATTAAAGGACCACAGGGCATGGAATATAATATTCTGGAGGGCAAAGGAGATAGGATTATAACCAAGTATCACCTACCCAGCAAAACTGAGTATAATCCTTCAGGGGAAAAAATGGTCATTCAGTGAAATAGAGGACTTTCAAGCATTCTTGATGAAAAGACCAGAGCTGAATAGAAAATTTGACTTTCAAATACAGGACTCCAGTGGAACATGAAGAGGTAAACAGGAAAGAGAAATCATAAGAGACTTATTAAGATTGAACTGTTTACATTCCTGCATGGAAAGATGATATTTATAACTCATGAGACCTTTGTCAGTATTAGGGTAGTTGGAAGAAAAAAATTATATGTATGTATATGTAGATAGATAGATAGAGGGCACAGGGTGAGTTGAAGATTAAGGGGTCATATCTGGAGAATAAAATTAAGGGATGAGAGAGGATGATACTCGGAGAAGAAGAAAGGGAGAGGTAGAATGGGGTAAATTATCTCACACAAAAAAAAACAGAAAAGAAAAGTTCTTACAGTGGAGGGGAAACAGGGGAAGGTGAGAGGGAATGAGGAATCTTATTCTCATAGGATTTGGCTTAAGGAGGAATAACATACACATTCAATTGGGTATGGAAATCTGTCTTACCCTACAGGAAAATAGGGGGAGAAAGGGACAAGAGAGCAGGGGGATGATAGAAAGGAGGGCAGATTGGGAAAGGGAGTAATCAGAAGGAAATAATTCTGAGGAGGGACAGGTCAAAAGAAAGAACAGAATAAATGGGAGGGCAGGATAGGATTAAGGGAAATAGAGTTAGTTTTTCACAACATGTCTACTATGGACGTGTTTTGCATAACTGCACAAGTATAACATATTGAGTTGTTTGCCTTTTCAATGAGGGTGGGTGGGGAGGGAGGAAGAGAGAAAATTTGAAACCTAAAGTTTTAAAAACATATGTTTAAAAAAATGTTTTCACATGCAACTGGGAAATAAGAAATACAGGAAATGGGGTATAGAAGTCTATCCTGCCCTACAGGAAAATAGAAGGGGAAGGGGATAAGAGAAGGGGAGAGAGATAGAAGAGAGGACAGACTAGGGGGAGGGATATTCAGAATGCATGCCATCTTGGGATGGGGGAGGGGAAGATGGGGTGAAAATTTGGAATTCAAAAACTTGTGGGAGTGAATGTTGAAAACTAAAAATAAATAAATTTATATTAAAAAATATATAAAAAAGTAAAAAAAAAAAAGAAAGAAAGAAAATGCTATCCACACCCAGAGAAATAACTATGGAGTCTGAATCAGATTGAAGTGTATCATTTGCTTTCTCTTTTTTTGTTTGTTCTTTTTCCTGGTTCCTCTCATTGGTTCTAATTCTTCTTTAGAACACGACTAATGTGAAAATGTGTTTAATATGAATGTATATGTAGAGACAATATCATTGTGCACTCTCTTGGGGAGAGGGAGAAAATTTAGAATTCAAAATCTTATGGAAGGGAATGTTGAAAACTACAAATAAATTAATTAAAAAAATAGGGTAAGAGGTTAAAAAAAAAGAATTGACTTTCCTTTTCCTTAAACTGTCAACTTTTATTTAGTACTCTTGCTCCTGCTGTCCTTTCTTCCTACTGATTAGAGAGGGTAGAGGCTGATTGGACAGGATGGAGGGTAGACATTGGAGATCTCTTTCTTCCAATGAGATATTTCATATTGTCTTCTATTTTTTTTTCTTCTTTTGGTTTTGTTTTATAATTTCTTAATTTCTCATCTAGTCATTAGCTTCCTATTGTTCCATTCTAATTTTTAAGGAATTTTTTTTTCAGCGAGCTTTTGGACTTCCATTTCCATTTGGCCAATTCTGCTTTTTAAGGCATTCTTCTCATTGGCTTTTTGGACCTCTTTTGCCATTTGGTCGAGTCTATTTTTTAAAGTGTTATTTTCTTCAGTATTTTGTTGGGTCTTCTTCAGCAAGGTGTTGACTTGTTTTTCTTACATCACTCTCATTTCTCTTCCCTATTTTTCTTCTACTTCTTTTACTTTTCAAAATCCTTTTTGAACTCTTCCATGACCTGAGACCAATTAAGGTTTTTCTTGGAGGCTTTGGATGTAGGAGCTTTGACTTTGTTCTTCTTCAGATTGTATGTTTTGATCTTCCTTGTCACCAAAGTAAGATTTTATTGTCTGAGTTGTTTTCTGCTGTTTGCTCATTTTCCCAGCCAGTTACTTGACTTTTTAACTTTGTTTAGGTAGGGCTGTGCTTCCAGTGTGGAGGGTGTACTGTCCCAAGGTTCAGGGCTTTTGTGTAGCTATTTTTCAGAGATACTTCTAGGGACCTGTAAGTTTTCAGTTCTTCCAAGGTGGTATGCTCTAAGGAGAGGTATTTACTCCTCTCCTGGCCTGTGCTACAGTCTGTGAGTCTAGTCTCCACTGCTGCCACAAGCTTTGCTATGCTAATGCTCCTCCTTGCTCCAGCACTGCCACCCAGGACTACCACCCAGATTCAAGTATGGGCAGTGCAACAGAATCTTGTTGCAGTGCCAGCAAAGAGACCCCTGTAATTTCCTTCTGATCAGTTGTTTGATCCCCTTACTGTCTGTAGGCTGAGAGCTCTGGAAGCAACAGCCACTGTTGCCTCCACTGCCACCACAGCCCTGGGGCTAGCCTGTGCTTCTTTCTCACCTGAATCCGACAAACCTTTCCTACTGACCTTCTAAGTTATCTTTGGCATTTATGGGTTGGAAACTATCACAGCTGCTAATGATTCATGCCCCTGAGGCCTGTTCTGGTTTGCTGGAACCTGTTCTGTGCCAGCCCAGCCTGTGCTAAACTGCCCTCCTCTCCTTGCCTGGTGCAAGAGACCTTTCCCATGCACCGTCCAGGTTGTCTTAGGCTGTAAGTTTGTTTCACTCTTTATTTTTGTGGGTTCTGCTGCTCTAAAATTTGTTCAGACTCATTTTTTACAGGTATTTGGGGGGGTTTAGGGGAGAGCTCAATTGAGTCCCTGCTTTTACTCAACCATCTTGCCTCCACCCGAGAGACCTCCTTCTTGACCCTCCACTATGTAAGGAGGGCTTTCTAGGAAGTCTTCTCATCCTTTGTCACCTGGCTCCTTTCCTGAATTTTATGATCTCTAGAAATTCATCATTCTGAAGGATAAAAATATGAAATTCTTATCTTCTCAGATCACTTCCTTTCCCAACTGCAGGACTCCATACCCCATGTTGGGTAACTTTCCTGCTTCCCCAAACTCCTCTCCTTTTCATTTTCTTTCTATATATTGTCTTAACCCATTAGATTGTGAGTTCCTTTAGGCTAGAGGCTGTTTTATGCCTTTACTTGTACCCTCAGCTCTTTAGAATAGTGCCTGGCACATAGAAGGCACTTAATAAGTATTTACTCACTCTGATGCTAGAAAGATAGTTATTGTGCAAATAGTGGATCATTTAGATATCTAGCTCCCTACCTTCCCTTTCATGTTTACCCACATTTTAGTAATTTTAGTTTCTGGTTATTTTGTTGCCTTTTTTTTTTGTTAGGATAAAATGGCAAACCTAAGAAAGGGGGTGAGTTCATAAAGAGTGAAAGGGAAACTTTAAATTGGTTAGTTTTGATGCTTTACTCTGGTTTGGCTATTCTGTTATTACATAGCATATCATAACAAATATTGCCAAAAACCCCATCTTAAGCAATATTTAGTAAGTGAAAATTCTGCCACAAAAATGAATTAGGATTATCTCCCTTGTAATGGGATTTAACTGAAGTGAAAATTTTAAGTTAGCTTGTCTTGTTACTACTGAGTGACTCTACACATTCTTAATCACAAAACCTTGCTATGGCATCATTTTCAGTAGATATGTAAGCCCTAAAATTCGAGTTGCTCGGTTTTCATTGTAGAATGCATTTACTGTGAAATAAATTATTTGAATTTATATTACATTTATTTGTAGATGGTGATCCAGACAACTATATTGCTTATTATCGGAGAGCTACTGTTTACTTAGCCATGGGCAAATCTAAAGCAGCAATTCCTGACCTAAGTAAAGTGGTTGAATTGAAGACTGATTTTACAGCAGTAAGTACATGCTTATCTTTATTAAGAAAATGCAGCCTTTTTAATCTTTTTCTTTATGTGTCACAAAGACTTCCGAATGTAACATTCAATGATAGTATTAGGTTGTATTATCTAAGCTGTATTATAAGAAGCTTAAGACTGATGCAGCATTTTCTTCTTCCTGCTAAGGAGCTATATTTTGGAGAGCCATACTCTATTACCTTCCTCTATTTAAATTCCTAATTTTTACTTTCCACAATTTGTCAACATAATGCCTTTGTGTCTAGAAGATACTCTCAGGAAATATTTGGAGGTTGAATGATTGAATGCAGAGTTTTGAATCCTAATGAAATGGATTAGAGACAATTCATATTTTCAAATAAGATGAAGTTATATTAAAGTCACTTAACTTTATTCTTTTCACCTAAAAAATGAATGACTATTATTTCCCTATACATGAGTGATCAAAACATTAGTTTTTTTTTAAAATGCCCACTTAAGAGGAAATTTGTCATATGGTGGCAAATATTTTGCTGTGGCATATTTGTTTCCCCTAATGCTGACTCTTCCCCATCTCCCCAGATTGATTTGAATTTAATTTGGGGAGGTGATGAGAGAGGGAAGGATGTCCCCCACCACAGAATAAAGCTTAGAGAGAGTTTATTTCTAGATTTACCTAGAAGAACATAATAGGGTGCACACCTCCTACATAAACACTTGCTGTACAATATATGGGTGTCAGATAGAGGATTGCCTTTTTTTCACCCAGGCCTGTGCTTGGGGCTCTACCTCCACCTGATATTCTAGCTTCTACTCCTGAGTTCCAGGCTTTGATGGATGAAGTTTCACTTTATCTTGCCTGTTACTTTCTGACCATCTTTTCTGACCATCTTTGAGTCACGCCATTATGTTTGTCCTATTTTCCTTCCTTTCTTCCTCCTTTCCTGCTCTGGCTTTGAGAACAGTAGCTGAATAAATTCTACCATTCCTGGAATGATGTGTTAATCAGTTGTCCTGTTATTTCAGTCATCATTAATTGACTTCTCATTGATTGACTTCTCTTTCTAGGACACTTCTCCTTTGCCTCAATTCCCCTTCTGTGTAAGCTGTTCTTCTCTTAGAATATACGTTCTTTAAGTGTAGGACTGTCTTCCTTGGTTGTATTTACATTCCCAGTACTTGACACATAGTTAGCACTTAATAGTCCATTAATAAATACAAAAACATAAAGCACTCAAATAGCTCTATAGACTTCAAAAGGTCAAGATACTTTGAGGGTTTGCTGAATTATTCTGTACTGTCTGAGCAACTTAGTAGAAACATTTTGGCAGGGTCCATATTTTTGTGTCTCCCATCTTCTGCCCCCCTTTTAGTGTCTTCAGTCTTTTTAATTGCAGAATGATACTTATTCTTCACACTATTGATAAGGAATCTTACTTTGAGAGGCTGGCCTGTGGACAATCAAATTTAGGAACTCATTGGTGCTCTTATCTTGCCAGGATCTTGGGCATCTTCTTAGCAATTCTGGTCTCTGACCTGTGTTCAAAAAATGAAACAAAATCAAAAAAGTACTGGGGACCCTGAGGTCCAGGATCTCTGACTACCTGGGCTTGAGTAGGCAAGAGTAGGGCGTGCCCTACTTCCCATCTTTCTGGGCTGTAGTCTAGAAATACAAGGTGGTAAGAGCTTGCAAGGAAAAAACAATGGGCTGAGCTGTTTTACCTTGTTTACTTTGACTAGGATAAAAGGTTGCTCTTCTTATAAAGAAATTCCATTCTTCTGAGCCCCAGTTGACCAATCATGAGGAAGCAGCCCTAATGTCTGAGGCCCAGCCACTAAGGTTCTTGTGGCCATCCTGATCAGGGTCTTTTCTGATTAACTTTCTTTATATAATTTTTTTGGTTGGGGTCTAAGAATCTAAATGCTAAATGCTTTGATATTTTAAGATAATTGTGGTTGGTAGTGGAAAGAATTGGACTGGTCTGGGAGAAATCTTGAGGGCCTAAGAAATGATAGTTGAGGCTGCTGTACTCATTTCCATTTCTAGTTTAGTTTTAGCAGCATATGACTAAATGTCTCAAGGAGGTGTGGAGAGATGAAAGGGGGTGGTGAAAACTGGATGAACGCAAAACCAAGTGAGGAAAGAATTTTAGTTTGTCTTTTGGAATAAATTATGATCTATAAGAAATAGAGAATTATTATAAAAAAGTGACTGAAGTACTATCATTTCAAATAAGTGGCAGTGTCATGAATGAAAATACATTAATAAGTCATAAAACAATATCCATCAAGTGGTGGTTGATAATTTAACTATTTTGTCTAAATAATTAAATAAAAAGCAAGAAGATAATGTGAAAATTTAGTAAAAGCAGTTCACTTGGATGATACTTTATGAAAACAGCTACAAACAAACAGTAGAAAAATCTTAGAAAATAAGTTGCAATGCTAGAAATGTTATTTAAGAGTAGTAGCTTAGATAATATTGTAGCTATTAGTTTAATGTTCTATATTTGAGATTCAGTTTTTTTATCTTGACATAATTACTTAGTAAAGTACATTTTCTAGTTTGAGAGAACTGATTTAAAAAGACAAGAGGGCAAGAACTGTAAATAAACATAAAGAAAAGACAGATGGTTGAAGGAAGAGGCAAAATAGTTTTTCCAAGATATTTGCACAATTAATCTCTGAAAATGTTGGCACGTGTGACATTTTTAATTGGAAGAAGTATTTAAAGCAGTATTTGGGATCTCAACTATGATTTAAAAAAAAATTGAAGATGTCAGTGATACCATTTACCAGAGAGAGACTACTAACAGAAGTTCTACTTATTGTGACTAGAATTTTATAGCATCAAAAACATATAAATTACAGCATAGATATGCTTATTATAAAATCCAACTATTGTTGCAGAAAGGATGAGGTAGCCAAATTTTTCTTTTGAGGCTTTAGCTTAAGCTTAACTGAAATACATTTTGCATAAAGATTAGATTATGACTGACAGTTCAACTGGCTAACAGTTTTTTTAGTTTTGTGATTTAAAAGCATGTTGCTAATTTTTAAAATAGTGGACTGTTGTGAATTTTAGCAGTATAATGTTTTCAAGTTTTAGTAGGCTATTGATAGGCTTTCTGTTTTATGGCATGAAAATGGAGCAGAGGTGCACACACACTTAGAAGAATGGTATTAGAGTGTGGAGAATGGCAAGAAAAGAAATGGACAGAGGTGAAGGGAACAAACTGCAAGTGTGAACTAGCCTCTTTGAAAGTCCGCCTATTGCCCTTCTGGAAGAAGTTACAGGCCCAGTCCTTATTCTTCCAGCTGGTATTCTTACAAATACTTGAAGACAGCTCTCGTGTTTTGCTTGAAGTCATCTCTTTTCTGAACAAAACATCCCCACTTCCTTCAACTAATTTCACATCTGATAGGACCTCAAGGCTCTGGCCTGGTTGCCTTCTATCAGGCAGCAAGGAGTTCTTTAATTGGAGTCCTTAAATTTGGATGGGAAGAAGTGTGTGTGTGTGTGTGTGTGTGTGTGTGTGTGTGTGTGTGTGTGTGTGTATACACGTACATATATATGTATGTGTGTGTGTGTGTATATATATATATATATATATATATATATATATATATATATATATATATATATATATATATATATATATATATATATAAAATATATATTTACATAAATAGAATTAGTTTCCTTTATAATCTTATGTATTTTATGCATTTAAAAGCATTTTGAGCACTCCATAGTCTTCCCCAGATTGCCAAACATCCTTACTAAAATTCGTTATCCAGAACTGATCACAGTGCTCCACGGAGGTATGACTTGGGTAAAACTCCGGAGATATGTTGCCTCTCTAATTTTGGTGCCTTTCTCAGTGCAGCTCGAGATCACTTTTGTGTTTTTTGGCTGCCAGTTTATACAGGCCATTACAACTCATAGATCTTTTTCACATTAACTTTTGTTTAGCTGTGGTTTCACCATCGTGTAATTGTGCAAATGATTCTTTGATCTCAAATGTAGGACTTATCATTTATTCCTAATGGATTTCATCTTAAAAGCATTCCAATCCCAGTCTCTTGGGTCATGCACTGTGGTAATTATTGATCCCAGTCTTTTGTCATCCTCACATTGGACAAGCATGTCTTCATCCAAGTCATTAGTAAAATAGCACAGGTTCTTTGCCTTGGGTATTCATTCTGTTGTTTTTATACAGATTCCTTTTTAAAGAGATTAGGAAAAAAAACCCATGAAAAATTAATAAATAATATAAAACTTTGAAAGAAAGCATATGAATTTTAAGTTACAAATGAATCTTTTCAATTTTAATTTATCTCACTTAGAGCAAAAGCCATTGTAACCCAGAATTATATATAGTTGTGCTGAGGCAATGGTCTATGAACTTTTTGAATTATGTACTCCACCAGTGACAAGATTCTGAGCATATACCTCCAATATGTATGTATTTACTTATTTAGAAGTTATATATGTGTACTACCATACTAATAATTAAGTACATTATAAAATATGGTTTTTGACAAAAAAAAAATAGAAAAACACTTTGCTAGCTATGTGGAGGCTATATTGGAGACAGGAATACTTGAGTCAAGGAGACCACGTAGGAGGCTCTTAGTAGTCCAGGCAAAGATGGTGATGGATAAAAGGGATGTTGTGCAGGTGGAAACTACATGATTTGGCAGCTGACAGGATGCATGGGATGGGGTAAAATGAAGTGCCAAGGATAATACTGGGTAATTGTATTGCTTAAAATTTTCAAAGAGAACTTTAACTTTGTGTTTTTGTCTGTCATCTGTCAAAGAATGTTAACTCTGTGGTTGGTCTGGTTTATCAGGTTTTTTTATTGACATATTTCAGAAATTTCTAGAACTTTAAAAAATACTGAAGTATATAGCTCTTACTGTAGAAGTGAAAAGTTGAAGTTCTAAAAATCAGAAGAAATGCAAATAAAAAAATTCAGTCTCTACCAGTCCTAGATCTATGATTCTATAGATCCCTTCAGAACCCAGACAAGGGTACGTAGGAAGTTTAAAAAGAGTCTCAACTTGGATTTTGTTTCGTTATTTAGTTTGGGGAAAATATTATAAGTTCTCCCATCACTACCATCCTTCTCCTCTTAAACCTTGTAGTATTTAATAAGAATTTAGAAATTTAAAATGTTTAAGATACTTTTCCTTTTTCTTTTCTTTCTAGGCACGATTACAGAGAGGTCATTTACTACTTAAACAAGGAAAGCTTGACGAAGCAGAAGATGATTTTAAAAAAGTGGTAAGGTTTGATTGTGAAGTTTTTTATTTAGTGTAAGCATATTATATAACTAATTCTATGCCTTGTGTCCTGTACTAAAGTTATTTTAATGGTTAAGGGGAAAATTCCAATTTATTTTCTGTATAGATTGATCTTGTGTAAAGTATCTATTTCACACAACCTGCATAAAGTAATAATTTGGTAATTGATATAAAACAGTAATATTTTGAACATTTAGAAAACTAAGTGTACTGAATATATTGGTTTAATTTGCTATTTGTAGCTGATTCATGCTTGACATTCCCTCTATGGGAATCTCATTGTAACTGCACTATTGTATGAATGCTGTTAGTTTCATGTGATGCTTTTTGTCTAATTTAAAAGGGGTGTTCAAACACTTTTTTTTTTACAGCTGGATTTTATAGATACCGTTTTCATTAAAGGTAAATAATAGTGAAAGTTTCTTGGGTGTATTGTTGGATGTAACTGAATGAAGGTTCTGTATAAAGCCCAAAGTATAATACTTACTGCTACCAGTTCTTCCCAGGAATCCTACTGAAAAGACATTGACAGAAAGAGGTTTTTCATACAGACATTTGATCTGTTTTATGTGTTACCTCTCCTAACTTGAGATAGAAGTTGAATTGGATATATGAATCTCATTTTCCATTTATCACATGATAAGTATTGGTAATTAAAATGCACATTGCTAATATTATTTTCATAATATCAAAGTTTTTATTTTAGCCATCTAAAGAGTAGAAAAATATCTTTATAATTTTGTATTATATTAAAAACAGTGGATCCTGTATCATGATCTGGTATTTGTCTTACTTCTTATGAGGTTGTAAGAGGCCTGTAACCAGGTCTTAAGTGCTTAAAGGAATGCAAAGATGAATAATTTATTATAATACCTTTTATAAGTATGGGCTCAATAAACATATTCCATAAGTAGTGTCACGTATATATTTTCATATTAATGGTTAAAAGAGCTTCTTAAAACATGAATTTTTACATGTAACTGAATATTTTTTTACCTTTAAACAGCAAAAACCGTTTCAAATTTAAAAAAATTCCGATGTGAAATTCAACTATTGATATTGGATTTTTCCCGGAATGAACAAAATTTTGGTGGCCCAGATGTATACTGGACCATTTTTGTTAGTTTTCTTCTGACAAGCGGTTTTGTAACAGTCATACTCCTGCCATTGCTTTCTGAAGACTGGTCTTAACAGTTATCAATAGAAATTTTTTTAAACAAAGAAATGTGCATCTGCCTGCATTTATAGGTGCATTCTGCCAAATGTTCATTGTTTCCATGAGTACAATATTAATTGAAGCTACATTATGGGAGTAAATGGGGAGCATTTTCATTTTCATAGGAATAATGTTATAAGTGGGATGGTAAGTAGGCTGATCGTTGAAGTAATGCTGTTTGGGTTATCCTTGATTATTTCATTTACATCTTATGACATCAGGATTAGTCAGACATTAGTCATGGCATTGTGGTGGAATTTGATTAGAATGTATTGATGACATTTCATATTGTCATGGAGACAGTGTAATGGTGGAATATGTCCATGACAATTATTTTCCTGTGTATTCTTTTTAAAATCAGCAAAATATTTAATTAGCATTTACTTTTTAGTTCCTTCACAGCCCAAATTAGTAATAAAATAAACAGGAGAACAATTAAAATCTTAAACTGTATAAGCCATTTTTAAAAGGTTCTGTGTTAACAGAATGTTTTCTTAATTTGTGTTTGTGTCTCTGCAAAAGGTAAGAAGTCAGTTCAAGTAGTTTTAAAGTATTGAGGAGGCAAAAACACAAGTATAGAAGTCAAGTGGTTTAAAAAAATGGTTGTCATGACAGCTGTTTCCACGGAAAATTCTATTTGTAGGGAATACTTGGGCTAACCCGAATACTTAGTCTGCGCAGTGATCAGTATTTTTATGAAAATTGGGCCCAAAATTCAGTACATAATTGCTTATAACATAGCATTCATGTAGATTTGTCTTTTGCTGCTTGAAAAGTAAAAGGTGAAAGAATATATTCAACAACTGTTTTCTGAATTGTAATATGATGAAATGAGTAAAACCACAGTAAATAAAATCAGGAATTCTGTGTTCTAGTCTAGGGCTCCCCTACTAAGTATCTGTTTAATGATGTTGGGGAAGTCACAATATCTCTAGGACTCATTTTCTTCATTTTTTTGAGATGCGAGTGTTGAACTAGATAGCTATAAGTTTTCTTTTAACTATAAGATTCTGTGATTCCATGAAAGAGATTATTATGGAATCTTGTTAGAATGCACTTATTTTTATTTTAGGTCTGTTTTCTTCTTTATAGAATGTATGTTCTTTTATCAGTTGGTGAGTTAGCCAAGGGAATCTAAAGGGTCTACAACACTGGTTCTATAGTATGTTTATCAGCTTCCCAAAATATTTCTTACTCTAGCTACATCTTCACTGAACATCATACTCTATCATCAGATAAATATGTATAGGTATAGTTTACATGATATAATTCCAAACTTTTGCCATTATTTTCAGGTTACCAGAAGTTCACCTGATAATACTGTATAATCTGCTGTTGATTATCTCCATGTCAGTTTTTTTTTTGCATTGTTGAATATTGGTGGTTGTTTCTTTTGCACAGCCTACTGTAGGAGTCTAGTCAACTGTAGTTCTAGGCTAAGATCTAATTTGCTGAAACCAAATAATAACCTTCTGAGTCGTCTTTTAAAAATATTTGTTGTTCGCCAAGACACAGGAGATGATAAGGAAGCCTTTTGAAGATTTCTTTTTTGAGAATCCCTAGGATGTTTTTTGTAAAAAAAGTTCCTCCAGTTTTTTGTATAAGCAGATTAATAAAGAACCTTAGAGCTGATATTATTTTTGGGGGGGGGTCTTTAGGCAGTTTTGTTTTAAAGTGATACAGATGATAATTTTTCTTCTGTAAAAATCCAAAACAAAATCTTGACATTTCTTTAGTAACTCATTTTGTTGTTTAACAACGGTTGATTCTTGACTAATCTTAAGTGCCACAGACTGCCAACTTAAGCTCAGTTTTATATGTTTTGTTTCTTTTTCATTTCTCTTTGTATAGAAAGCACAGTTGGGTATATTTAATAAAGCAATTAAAATTTGTGCTTTATTTTCAATTTTTTTGAGCAAACTTTGTTACCCAAATGGACTTGTCATAGGTGTGGGGGAATCATATATTAGAAGGATAATAATAGGGGCAGTTACAAGCTAACAGAACTTTTCTATTTTATTTAAAAAATTTCTCAATGTCATCCCTCTCAATTGGCCATTTCAGAGACCTCTTAGGAATAAAAATCAAACTAATATAAGACCACTAGATGTCAGTAGACTCTTAATCATTTTGTTCATCTGGCTTTGTTTATAACGCAGAAAATGTGTATAGCAAGAATGGGGAACCTGCGGCCTTGAGGCCACATGTGGTTCTCTGGGTCCTCAAGTGAGTCCCTTTAACTGAATCCAAACTTCACAGAACAAATCCAAGTTATAATCCAACAATTCCACATATGCTATGACTACAGCATTATCCTATTCTGCCATTCTTGTAACTATTAAAAATAGGAAATGGCATGACTTATTATTCATGTCGTAATCCAACAACTTGGATTTGTTCTGTGAAGTTTGGATTTAGTCAGAGGGACACAGTTGAGGACCTAGAGGACCACATGTGGCCTCAAGGCCACAGGTTCCCCACACCTGGTATGTAGGATCATAGGATTATAGATTTTGAACTGTTAGGGTTCTCAGAGGACGTCTAGTTCAATCCTCCAGAGGAAATGAGGCATAGAGAGGTTAAGTGACTTGCCCAAGGTTGTAGAATTGAGCAGAAGAACTGGAATTTGAACCCAGGCTGGGCTCCTGACTCCAAATCCAGTATTCTTTATATTTTACCATGCTGCCTTTCATGGACTTAAAATAGTCTGAACAGCAGGGGTCAACATTTCTTAAGTTACTGCAGAAGGGATCAGATTACTTTGATGTATTTGTCATTTGGGGACCTGCCAGAAATGTCCATTGACAAGCAGAAATTTGTGTATAGTGGGACTGTTACCTACCTTTATCTCAGCATTGCTTTTGACGTTGTGTTCTAAGATTACATTTTATTCTTTGTTTCATTAGCTTATCAACTCCTTATTCTCAAAGTGGTTTTCATATGAATTCTTTTCTGGCCATATAACCCATGACCTGTACTTTGTACAGTTGAATTTTTGAAACTGAGTAAAGGACCTTTACCCTATTTAAATTTCATGTTCTTTGATTTGGACTACTATCACATCTTACTGAGATTTTTGGATCTTCATTCTTTCATCCAAAAAATATACTATACCTACTTAGACCTGTATCATCTGTATTTTTATAAGAGACATTAATAAAAATGAGAATCATAGGGACAAGGGAGAGATCCCTGAGATTTCTCTTAAGCTTGACATTTTTAAAATTCATATTTTTTGGATATAGTCTTTCAGTCATTTATGAATTCATCTAACCATACTGAAATTAGAAACATCTTTTTTGCTCCATCTCATTTATAAAGATACTGTAGTAGTTTTTTGTCAGTTGCTTTGTTGAATTCCACATTTGCTATGACTACAGCATTATCCTGTTCTGCCATTCTAGTAACTACTAAAAATAGGAAATGGCATGATTATTATTCATAAATCCATGCTTACTCCTTATAACCTACCTGTTAACTTTTCTTGGTTTCCACTACACTGCTTTCTCATATCTAGCTTTTCTTTCTTCATCTCTTTTGTTTACTGACCATGTGTGTCCCCTGAGGCTCTATTCAGGACCTTCTTCTCTTTTCATTCTATATTCTCACTTGCTTGGTGATTTCTGTAGCTTCCAGGGGTTCAATTATCATCTCTATGAACATCATTTCCAGATCTATATATCCAGCCTGGTCTTTCCTGATCTCCAGTTCATCACGAACTGTCTATCAGACATTTAGAAATGGATATTCCTCAGCTATTTCAC